GTAGAGACGGGGTTTCACCATGTTGACCAGGATGGTCTCGATCTCTTGACCTCGTGATCCACCCGCCCCGGCCTCCCAAAGTGCTGGGATTACAGGCTTGAGCCACCGCGCCCGGCGCAATTGTGTTTTGATGGGTCTAGGTATGGATGGATTTATTGTACTGGGGATTGTGCCTCCTGACTCTAAAGGGACCTGGGTCCTGTCTCTGTTTTCATTCTGGAATTTTTCTTGAGACAGACTCTCATTCTGTCACCAGGCTAGAGTGCAGTGGCGAGATCTCGGCTCACTGCCACCTCCACCTTCTGGGTTCAAGTATTTCTCCTGCCTCAGCCTCCTGAGTAGCTGGGATTAAAGGAACACACCAACAGTCCTGCCTACTTTTTGTATTTTTCGTAGCGATGGGTTTTCACCATGTTGGCCAGGCTGGTCTTGAACTCCTGACCTTAGGTGATCCACTCATCTTGGCCCCCCAAGTGCTGGGATTACAGGGATGAGCCACCACACCCGGCCTGGAATTTCTTTGAGACATCTTGGATCCTCTCATGTCGTCTGCCCTTTGTCATATTTTCCAGTTGATTAATTTTCTCTTCTGCTGTTGAATTAAGTTTTAAATGTCTGTGAATGGCAGCCACTAATTCTGGCATCTGTAGCTCTTGGAAGTCCACTCCTCTTGTTGATTCTGACCTCCGTGCCTTTAGTGGGGCTTTGGCTGTAGCAATCATATGCAGCACTGGTTAAAGAATCTCAAGGTAACTAGTGTTAGAACTGAATTAGAGGTCCACCTTGGTAATGGGGACAAACCTTAACACATTTGCTCGCAGAAGTCATCTTCTGTGTTGATGATGATTTTTGTGGTATGAGAGCAGAGGGAAAATGGGCTGAGCATTTTCTCTAAACAGGAGTGGACATTCAAATCCCTAGTGAGGCTGGGCATGGTGGCTCAAGCCTGTCATCCCAGCACTTTGGGAGGCCAAGGCAGGTGGATCACCAGAGGTCAGGAATTTGTGACCAGCCCGGCCAACATGGAAGAACACCATCTCTACAAAAATACTCGACTGTGTTTTTGGGAGGCTGAGGCAGGAGTATTGCTTGAACCTGGGAGGTGGAAGTTGAGATGAGGCAAAATTGTGCTACTACACTGCAGCCTGGGCAGATCACAAATAAGAGATATAATGGACTCACAGTTCTACAGGCTGTACAAGCACAGCTCCAGCATCTGCTTGGCTTCTGGTGAGGCCCCGGGAAGCTTACAGTCATGGCAGAAACAGGAGGGGTGCAAAGAGAGAGAGGAGGTACCCGGCTCTTTATAAACAAACTGCTCTCATGTGAAGTAATCGAGCAAGAACTCACACTTCACCAAACAGAGGCTGCTAAGCCATCCATGAGGGATGTAGCCCCTCTAACAAACGTGATATTTGGAGGGGACACACATCCCAGCTGTGTCAGGCTATAAATGTTTTGTTTTGACTCTTAGCTCCTTGAATGACAATTATTTGTTCTCTCTGATGAGAGAGAGACAGGTTTTCCCTCTGGCTGGAAGGCAGATGCCAGATGGGGCAGAGTGGCAGCCAGCTGCGGCGGCTTACTGCACTGTGGAGGAGGGGCCTGGGACACGAAGCTGCGGGCACACAGGTGGATGTAGGCAGCCGCCAGAGTGCAGGCACACTGGAGCTCCCGGATGCCACAGGGCTCCTGCACACACAGGCCAAGGAATGATGCAGGCTCCACCTGAAATCAGGGCCACCCAGTCACTGTCTCTAGCCTAGGCCTCTCCTCCATGCCACTTCCCAGGGTAGATTGGGGAAAGGGCTTTCTGTGCCCCAGGGCGCAGGCTCACACCACCCAGAAGCAGTTCCTCAAGCTGGAGTAGGGGTCCTGGAAGGCCGGGCAGGCGGGGCTCTGTCCTGGGCAGGCCTGCTGAGTCTTATCGGTCGCCCTACAGTCACCATCCACCTGGCAGGACAGACACAAGACTCAGGCTCCCCGCTGGACCATGTGGCTCCCCCACATGCATCGGTCTCAGCAGGAGACTCCCCCCAACCCTGGGCCTGCAAAGACCTCTGCAGAGCCAGCAGGCCACCTGCCTCTCCTGGGACTCTGCAGCGAGCAGCCCTGAAGAGCCTCAGCCAGAGGGCGGAAGGGCAGGCGCACCTGCTCAACTGTCAGGCCAGGCTGAGCTCCTCCAGGATGTGGGCCACAGAGCCGTCCAGCAACATCAGATCGTTGCCTGCTTCATTGTCGGTGGTGCTCAGAAGGCCAGCCGATATGCCTGTGGGGAGGAGGGAAGCTGAGGTGGTTCTGAAAGCCCATGATCCTCCCCCAGGGGACCTGTACGAGAGACAAGCCTGAGGCACACGGAGTATTGGTAGAATCCCTCCATCCCGGACTCCCGAAGCCCAGGGCTCTGGCTGCAAACTCTCATCAGAAGAGGGAGAGAAAGCAGGGACTGATGACAGCGTGTGTCCCCGCATCCCCTCTCCACGTTCTCAGCCCGAGTGGCCGGAATCCAGGCCTGCCCTTTGTGTCCTTGGCAGAGGGACCACAGAAAGGCCAACTCCACCTTGGAGCCACATATCCCAGGGATGTGGGCAGAAAGCCCTGGGCCTCGGTGCTTTCATCTCAACCACAATGGCCGCCTATAGCCCCGGGGACCTGTCACAATGGAAGCTGAGAATGGTGCATCCCGAAGAGGCTCTTGGTGGTGGGGCCAACCCTGCTGGGGCCCAGACTCACCGTGGTGCCAGAGGCCCAGAGTCAGGCTGCAGAGGCCGGTGGGCACGTCACAGGACATGGAGACCCTGTCCTCACTGGCCAGCTCAATCCTGGGGATGTCCCTCCTTTTCATGGCAAGAGGCAGCTGGAGGTCTAGACAGCTCTCCCCCGGCAGGGAGGAGTTGTACAGCCTGTAGGCCTGTGGACAAGATGGGGTGATCAGGAGGGCTGACCCACAGCCAGGAGACAAGCTTGAAAGGGTCGTCTCCCCAGGCAACCTGCCACAGGCACAGGTCTCCGGGGGAAGCTTGGGTCTCTCCTCCTCACCTGCAGCCTGGGGTAGAAGATGAAGGTCAGGTGGTTCAGCTCCACAATCAGGGCCATGAGCCCCGAGTCTGTCTGACTCAGCATCGGGGAGAATGTGTTGTGAGCAAAGTCTTGGGCCAGCAAGATGCTGCCACACTGGGTACTGAGGTCCCACACCTGGCTGTCAGAAGTCACCACATGCTGGGCCTGGGCCACCAGGGCATGATCTGGGGAGAATCAGCCCCAAAGGCAGGGTGAGTGGAGCCAGCTCCACCCACTGCAGTGGGAGCCCAATGCCTTCTGGACACCCCAATGCCTAGAGCCCCGGCTTAGTCTGCCCTGAGGCCAGGAGTCCCCCTCCCCTGGTGCAGCAGCCAGAGGCCCAGCGATCCCTCACCTGCTTCAGGATGACGTGAGCTGAAGGGCTATGGCCCAATTCAGCCCTAACAAGGAATGGAGTTCCCAGACCCACTACAAAATTGCTGTGCTAAGTAATAAAGCCTGGCTCAGAGGCCACATAGTCATGCTTCTGTTTACATCAGATGTCCACAGCAGGCATAGCCATGGACAGAGCAGGCAGGCTGGCAGCTGCAGGGTTTCATTTTAGGATAAAAATGTTTTAAAATCGATTGTGGTGAGGCATGCACAACTCTGAATAATCTAGAAGCTACTGAATCGTGCACTTGAAATTCACACATCGGCCAGGTACAGTGGCGCTAAGCCATCCCAGCACTTTGCCGGGCTGAGGTAGGAGGACACTTGAACCCTGGAGGTCAAGAGTGCAGGGAGCCAAGATCGTACCACTGCACTCCAACCATGTCCAACCATGACAACAGTGTGAGATCTAGTCTCAAAAAAAAGAATCATACAAGTCAACCACTTAATCTCAAGGAAACTACTGGGGTGAGGGGGAAACACTGACTGTTTAAGTGGATGGCCAACGGCTCCCTCAAACATGACAGCAGTGTCCTGCAGAACTGCTGTCTTCCAAATAGGGAAGAGATGGCCTGTGAAGGAGCAGGTCTGACCAGTCCAGCCAGCGCTGCCCCGAGCTGTGCATTGGGGGTGCTCATGCCCATGGCAGGAAAGCACCATCCATCGTGCACAGCCAGACACCTGATGGCCAGGGCCAGCATCCCAAGGGAGGGACTACCAGCCCCCTGGTCAGCTGTCAGAACTGAGGGGCACAGAGAATTCCATGGTCACACACACATAGAACTTGAAGACCAGGCTATTTTCTACAAGATCAGCGTGCTGCTTAATCCTGACTACACCCACGCTTCTAGGGAGCCGTAGGCCTCCGTGTGAGTCCCACACAGATAAACCGCTCCTTGCCAAGCCTGGGTACTATGGCTCCCCCATGGACGTGAGGGCCTCCCTCATGTATTAAGAACCGCACATGCCCCTTACCCATGTGAGGGAGCCACATGGTTACTTGCATTTGACAGTGGAGGAAGCTGAGTCCACGGAGGTTAGCAGACTCACCTGAGCAACACGCAAGCTCCCCAGGAGCCCAGAGCTGGTCATCCCAGCACCGCCCTTGGCTGTACTGCTGCTAGGCCAGGCCTTATAATCTGGAGAAAAGCAGGATGTGCTGCCTCAGCCCGAGTCCCATAGGACCTTGGGAATTCCAATAAGCTGGGCCTGGCACTGTGATGCCATGAGCCTCTGCAGGCTTCCCTGTGCCCCCACAGTACCTGCCTCTGCATGGCCCTGCTGCTGTGCCCACAGGGCAGGGGGCTCCCAGGGAGGAGGGTAGCACAGCCCGGGGCAGGACTCATACTCCCAGAGACCCTGCAGCAGGCTGCATCTTAGCTGGTAGAACTTGGCCAGCACATTGGCCCTGGACAGCTCTCGGAGCTGCTGCAGCAGCTTCTACTCCATCAGGTAGCTGGTCACCTGGGCCATGTCCAGGGGCTCATTCCCCTGAGCCAGCAGTGCCAACATCATCACTACTGAATAGTTCCTAGAGGGAACACACGGGACAAGTCGCTATGCCTAGCCGAGCCTTGCTGCTTTTGTCTGCAGAGGGGGAGCTCACAGGTCTGCAGGAAGAGCTCTGCCATGGAGAACATTAGGGTGCCTCTCGGGGAAGGGCTGTCCTTGTTCTAGGAAATCCCATAATGAGGTGGAGGAGGACAGAGGGCAGCATGACAGCGGAGGTAGGGGGTGAGGCCAGGACAGAAACAAGCTGTCCTATTTTGGAGACACAGATGTCTGATGTCATGTCTGATCTGCCCCCTGGGTCTTTAGCAGCATGGGCCAGTGTGTGCGGGTGCCAAGGACAGGAGCTGGAAGGTGTAGGAAATTGTTGTTTTTTGAGACAGAATCTTATTCTGTTCCCCAAGCTCGGGTATACTGGTACGATCTTGACTCCCTGTGACCTCAGCTCCTGGGTTTAAGTGATTCTCCTGTCTCAGCCTCCACAGTAGCTGGAACTACATGCACTCACTGCCATGCCCAGCTTATTTTTGTATTTTTAGTAGAGTCAGGGTTTCACCATGTTGGCCAGGCTGGTCTCCAACTCCTGACCTCAAGTGATCTGCCCAAAGTCCTGGGATTACAGTCATGAGCCAGTGTGCCTGACCAAAAGGTCTAGGAAATTCCTACAGTTGGGGGGAGGACTGGAACTTTTCAATATGTAGAGTAGGGTCAAGCCTGTGAGATCTGAATGATCAGGGAGATCTTGGCTCATGTGGGGGTAGAGTGGGCAGAGGAACATTGCACACTCTGTTGTTGATGGGCCGGTGAGGAGGAGGGGCAGGTAGCCTCACTTACCTTTTAGGGAGCCCAGAGGCCCTGCAGCTGGGGGCAGGAAGCAGCCAGTCCCTCCCAGTTGGATCAGCCCCACCACCTTGCTATTCAAACAGGCCACGCAAGGTGGTTCATGCCCGTAATCCCAGCACTGAGTCTCTGGAGCCCAGGATTCTGAGACCAGCCTGGGTAATATAGTGAAACCCTGCCTCTACTAAACATACAAAAATTAGCCGGGTATGGTGGTGAATGCTTGTAATCCCAGCTACTTGTGAGGCTGAGGCAGGAGAATCACTTGAATTCGAGAGGCAGAGGTTCCAGTGAGCCGAGATCACACCACAGCACTCCAGCCTGGGTGACACAGCACGAGACTCCATCTCAAAAACAGGCCAGGCACATCCCTCTCCCAGGCCTCTGTGCAGTGGTGCCCCCGCCTGGAGCTCTGTTCCCATACTGGCCCCATGGCTCTTGCTCAAACTGTACCTTCTCCTCAAAGTTGGCCATGGCCACACCATAGAATCCCCAGCCCACCATCTCAACAATGTTCCTTCTTTAGCATTTGCCACCTAATGTATGGCAGAGTGGTGGTAAATGATGGGCAGTGGGCCATACCCAGCCTGTGGTCGGCTTCTGCAAGGCCTGCAAGAAAGAAGGGCTTTTATGTGTTTAAAAGATTACAAAACAGGCCAGAAGTGGTGGCTCATGCCTGTAATCTCGACATTTTGGAAGGCCAAAGGGGTTGCATCACGGAACGTCAGGAGTTTGAGACCAGCCTGGAGTGGCAAAACCCTGTCTCTACTAAAAAGGCAAAAAATTAGCCAGGTGCAGTAGTGCACACACCTGTAGTCCCAGCAACTCGGAGGGCTGAGGCAGGAGAATCACTTGAACATAGGAGGCAGAGGTTGCAATGAGCTGAGATCACACCACTGAGACAGAGTGAGACTCCATCTCAAAAAAAAGATGATTACTAAACAAAAGCAAGGAAATGTGACAGAGCAGAATGGCCTGCTTAAGAGGTGGCTCTGAGGCACTCTGCAGGGAGCAGTGCACACCCTGCTGTAGATTCCTTGTGCTTCATGTCTGTCTCTGAGTAAAACTGAGCTTCCTGAAGGCAGGGGTCAGCCTCGCCCACTGTGGTCCTCTGCAGCAGCTCCTAAAATCCTGCCTGCCCTGGGATCATGCTCACAAGGTCTCTGTGGAGTGAGGAAGAAACCCCAGTTTCCTCTCCTGTGAAATGGGGAGTGAAGAAGCCTTTGTGTAGGGCGGTCAGAGTAGTCAGGGAGTCAAGAAAGTGTCGAAACATTCGTCATTGCACCTGATATGTGGCAGGAATGCCGGATGTGCCACTCCCAACCCTGCATTACCTGGTCACGAGGTCATACAGGTCCAGCAGGGGTTTGCAGAGCCTCTTCAGTGCCCATGAGAACGTGGCCTCAGCCCCGGACAGCACCTGCTGAGCCACCTGGAGAGGGAGGGGACAGTGAATGCTGTCTCGGTCGTCCTAAACTGCCAGCCACGCCCCATCCTTGCTCTCACTCACCAGCTCCAGGGTGCCTTTCACGGACCCCACGTCCATCCTGATGGGCCTGGGACCCCGGTTGCCTGGCATCCGGGGCCCCCAGGCCTGAAGCCACCACATGCCCACTCCCGCCACACCTCCCCCAGGAGCCGCAGCATCACTTCCAGGAAGGTGTTCTTCAGTGTGGCCAGGGACCCTGCAGCGGGCAGCCACCACCCACCATGAGGCCTCTGGGCGCTCAGAGGCCCAGCCCAGGCCTCAAGGAGATAGGGCCTGTTCCTAGTATTAAGATGGTGGGGGAAGTGGGGGAAAAGGAATAGAGCAGAAGGCACTGAAGATTGCAGGTGAGTTGTTACAGCAGACGTGAGCTGCCTCTGTGTGGCCTGCTCATGTTGTCTGGGAACTTGAATTGGGAGGGTTCCCACCAATCCTAGAAGTGATACGAGGCTCTCTGCACCTGAACTGTTTGTACAAACGTGGTTTATGCCAGACCCCTTCTTGCCTCCTAGGAGTCTGACAGTGTGCTCTGAGCGAAGCAGCACCTGCCAACTAGGCAGCCCCACTAAACACCCTGGGTGACATAGTGCTAGGCCAGCCAAGTGCATCCCATGTGAAGGTGCAGGGACTGGGAGAGGACACTGGGTGCTGGCCCTGGTTCCCCCTGGACTCCGCCCCAGGCCCCTTCCTTGTGCTGACACTCCTGCCTCCCCTCACTGTAATCAATGACAGCTGCGAACAGCAGAGTGTGCCGAGTCCTGGAGCCCTCTTCCAAATTCACTGCCCTACGGGTGGCCATGGGACTCTGGCACGGCAGAGAGGATATGGAGGTGACATTCAATAGCCAGTCAGAGGGACACCCACCCTGGCATTGGGCAAGGTCTTAGCCCCGGATGGTGGAGAGGCCAGAAGTTCCTAGTCCTGCCAGGAGGGCAGTCGGGGCAGCCACTATGAGCGTTTATCGACCACACGGCCACAAATAGCTTACTGTGGAATCAGAAAGAGACCCAGTGGCAGTGAGCTTCACAGAAACAAGGCTGTACATGTAAAAGAAAGGCAGAAGACTGAAGAAACCGAGGCAGCAGGCATAAGGGCTATTAGCTTGGATACCTTGTAAGAATAAGATAGAAGCCCATGAAAAAAAAGAAGGTTGGGTCAGGCACGGTGGCTCACACTTATAATCCCAGCACTTTGGGAGGCTGAGGCCAGTGGATTACGACATCAAGAGATCAAGATCATCCTGGCCAAAATGGTGAAACCCTATATCTTCTAAAAATACAAAAATGAGCTGGGCATTGTGGTACATGCCTATAGTCCCAGCTACTTGGGAAGCTGAGGCAGGAGAATCGCTTGAATACGGGAGGCAGAGGTTGCAGTGCACCGAGATCGTGCTACTGTGCTCCAGCCTGGTGACACAGCGAGACTCCATCTCAAAAAA